CCGAGCCCGTAACTTCAGTCACGTGACCTGACCTCAGACGCTACCGGTTAACCTGAGACCTTAAAATCGGGGTACCAATCGCTGCGACTTGTAACGGCACACACGCCCGTTTTTTTCCGCGAGGCTCTAGCTCTATTAGAAGCGAAACGGCGTGCTGGGGTCGTATCAACCCCTCCAAAACCCATTTTGCTTGCGGGAAAATGAGGAACTTATAGAAAGAACACCTTTCTAATTTTTTGCATGTCGATTTGCAATGACATGAAGATTATTTTGAAAAAATAAAAATGTGAAAAATTTTGGTCCCAAAAGTCATTAGAGGCAAATGAAAAAAGATTAAGGTTTTTGCTCAACAATGAAATTTTTTCTTTGGAATTTTTAAATAGTAATATTAATTTTTGATTCATCGCAAGCTTATTGTTGTTTACTTTTTGTTGGTTGCTTAACCCGTTCTTGAGTTATAGGCCATCAAACTCACCGTTACATACCGAAGTTAAAAAAATGTAATGCAATATAACTCAAAAAGTTTTGATCTGAGAAGTCTGATGTTTTGCCAGGTCTTTGGGGCCTATGCTTACCCCTAGGACCGATTTTCATTAAAATCTGAGAGATGAGGGTGACGGGCCTGGTACTATCTATCGTGGAATGCCCCCCCCCCCTATCAAAATAGGATTAAATCGGGTTGGCCCCTCGATGAAAATAATAGACGGAGAGAGAGAGAGAGAGAGAGAGAGAGAGAGAGAGAGAGAGAGAGAGAGAGAGAGAGAGAGAGAGAGAGAGAGAGAGAGAGAGGGAGAGAGAGAGGGAGAGAGAGAGAGAGAGAGAGAGAGAGAGAGAGAGAGAGAGAGAGAGAAGAGAGAGAAGAGAGAGACAGACAGACAACAGACAGACAGACAGACAGACAACAGACAGACGACAGACAGACAGACAGACAGAGACAGAGAACAGACAGAGACAGAGAGAGAGAGACAGAGACAGAGAGATAGAGAGAGAGAGGAGAAGAGAGAGAGAGAGGAGAGAGAGGAGAGGAGAGAGAGAGGAGAGAGAGAGAGAGAGAGAGAGAGAGAGAGAGAGAGAGAGAGAGATAGAGAGAAGAGAGAAGAGGAGAGAGAGAGAGAGAGACTCCAGCTGCCGTGCAGCAGCCTATTGATCCTGTGAAATTGAATGCAAATAGGATGCGTTATTGCGGCGCAGAGAGCGGCGGGATTTGTGAACAGCACATCATACACGGCGCGCTCGCCGCCCAGAGGGCCCTTCGCCACGCGCGCGCGCCGCACAGTGGGCCAATATTGCGCGCCGGCCGATTTGTATCACTTCACGGGTCAGCAGAGATTTCATCCCAGCGTACGGCTCTCGGACACGGACAAATCGGTAGCATTAGCCCGTTAGAGTTACATAGATTTTGGACACCCGTCCGGAAAGGCCGCTCGGACGATCGCAGCTGGTTAGGACGAGCATGAAGACTCAATAAGACGAGTTCATAAGGCACAGATGAACTGTATCTATGTCGTATGATATGAGCCTTAGGTAGTACTGCGCCGGCATGAGCCGTAGGTGCTTATCAAGAACTGAGCTAATTTTTCATTACAAAAGAACAAAGCCAATATTATGGGCTATGGCCCGTTACCTACACTGCAGAGCCGTACAAAACCGTGCACATTTTGTATGCTACTGATGGACATGCTATGCTACGTACTGGCGGATCCAGCTCCGAGTTTTGGGAGGGGCAAACCATAACAATTTAGTGGTTGTTTCCATGCACCGTACCGTAATCAGTACGTGTGTAATGCTAATAGGTGTAATGCTAAAACTATGCCGTTTGAGAGGGGTAATTGCACTATTTGCCGTCCCTGGATCCGCCACTGATGTTACGTTTGTGATTGGATGAGCTGAAAAATCATCACGGTGTCCCTCCTGCGCCCGGGGAGCGCCCTGTCTCCTGTCCAGGGGCGCAGGTGGCTCATCAGCACGCGCCACCAGTTACCCGGAGCTAATGACAGTGTCGGGGCGCTGTGTAAGTACGCGGCGGACAGCGGAGCCGTGCCGGGCCCATCGCAGCCTCTCCCCGGCCCACCTGGGGACTCCGCGGCCCACAGAGGTCCTCAGGGACGGCCGAGGTGGCCGCTGTACCGGCGATCCCGCGTCTGATGGGCGCCGCCGGCCGCACGTGACGCCATGAACCGTTACCGGCCGCCGGCGGCCACCTGAGCACCCTCTGAACGGCCGCGAGTCTATACTGTCCTGTGACGTCACCGCAGAAAAGTTGCTAGTTAGCGACGGTGGAGAGCGCCGCTAAACGGTTTTAGTTGAGCAGAAGATTACGCCGTCGTGCGGCGAGAAGTTGTCGCCGGTGCTGATGAGGTCGCCGCCGATCGGCCGAGCTCAACTTTGTGACGGTCGGCAGGTGCTCAGAAAATAGCTGGTGGCGAAACGTGAGTCCGCAACCAGTAGAGGAGAATTGCCGCTCTGCCTACAACCCAAAATAGATTAATTTGGCAAGGACATATGACACTGCTAAGGTTAGACTGGTAATAGGCGCACATTTCCAAGGCAATATGAACCGGTCAACTCAGGTGTGTACTATATCTGATTCGTTGCTAAGCAAGTAGAAACCGTTTAGATATTTATTCAGATCTACTGGAAACAGAAATATATAACGAGATACCATCGCAAGAGTCTTGGTGTAGTAGTTGTCCGCTTTGTCTTGCGCGAATTACCCTTGCGAAAAAATATAAATTTAAAATTACGTGACTGAAATAGCATTGCTGATTCCCGTAACCTAATGCCACAGGTGATTTTATCATACCCAGATACCTATTTACCTAGATGTGAATGAAGCGTTATAACATGGCGCACAGACGCGAATTATCAATGCATCACCTATGGGTATTCATTAGGTATTATTCAGATGACATCAATTCGTAATCTTTGTCATACCTATCAGCCTGAATCGTGATCAAATTGTCAATAATTTGGTTAGGCATTTGTTACCTGTTTTGTTGAAAAAGAGTGTGAAACGTGTTTGTAAGGTCAGTCTAAATCAAAGGAACATCTTGAAATCATGAGTAAATCACCCGACCCGGTCCGGACCAGTTTGTCACGTATTTGAGAAACCTTCTGCTTTCGCAGCAGTAGGTGAGTACATCTGCTGAAAACTGTCTTCTTCGTTAGTGTTTCGGTGGCTTGAAAATAAGGTTGTTTATAACCAGGCAATCGTTATCTCACCACTTCACACTTTCTGCTTTCTTTCGTATCCATACCACCATTCAGCAATATTTTTCGTGCCACATATGGTGAACAAAAGCGAAACGAAGGAAGGCGTCCTAACGACATCTTGTCAATCTTTTAGACCATCTTCTTTTTGAGCGTGGTATTCTGAATGGCATCGCATAGCAGCCATGCTCTTCTGATCTATTGACTAACTCCATTCACCGGCATTATACAAGTGTCGCAGCCACGCGTACCCTCACAGTCAATGCCAGACACCAGTAAGGGTCGGAATACAGTTGAACGCCGGCGTTGTACCGGCCTTATGGGCACGACGTTTTATTGATGGGAGCCAGGCTTCGTTATCGGGACAGTTGGGCTGGAGCGGCACCGCCAGGCCGCTGCCGAGACCGCACAAACTAATGGGGAAACTTCTGATGAACTGGAAATGGGAAGTGCTGGGACTTGAGTGCCACTCAGAGCGGGAAATCACGGCGGTCAGTATCTTATTAGGGTGGGGGTGAGACCAGTCAAAGCCAACTATAGGACGGCTCAGTAGTCAGTACCCCGTAAAAATGTGTTTATCACCAAAGCGATAAAAGGCGGTAGCTGTAAGTTCGTGGATGTTTCATGTGTTTCATGCATATCATATAACTATATTTACATTACCAATATGACTGTTCGACAAAATATTTTGTAATATAACATGTTTTACTTGCCGCATTCGGAACGAAGCAAGAGAAAGGAGTTTTCACTATAGGTGAACCAATCTGACTGAGATTTTGGCATATACGAACTGATTTCCACAATTTTCATTCAGCGCCGGCGGAGCGCCCATCAAAGCACCGGCCTAATCAATCGTCAAGTTTTAAAACTACTGGCTTCTGATTATCAGTTCACTGATATTTTCCGTTCATTCTATTTCTAAATGGCCGATTTCACAAACAGAAATCTTCACAAGCCGCCTTGTGGAAGAAACTCTTCTCCGGGAGCTCGGCGGGCATTGCTATCGTTCTATTTAAGGCGAGCTAACAATGGGCCGGGGAACAATATCACGATTCTACGCCGGATGCTCCAGGGCCGGCCTGTTCTCCAGATCTCTCGGAACAAGAGTGTCCAATTATTCCTCTCTTATATATCTTGCATAGCTGGGAAAAAATATCTGGGCATTCGAAATAATCGCTTTTTTTCTTAGACCTATGCCATATATTCATTGTCCAGCACATGGATGCTTGATGTATTTTGTGCAATGACGAGTGATGAGGTATGTGCGACTCATGAAACGCGGACCGTATGAACTGTGAATGACTTGGAACCGGCATTCCTTGAACCACATAATGGCCTCCAATTCATAGGTCTTCCGAAGGGATGCCAAACCATGCATGGATTTCCTCCTATTTCGATAAAAAATGAAATAAACTGCACGCGTCTGAACCAAAACAAATTTACATCTCCTTATATTTTGACTAGACATTGTTAGAAGTCCTTTCAATTGATTTGTATACTTCTTGACGAGTTAATTTTTCTTGATTTCGGTTGAGCCCGAATTTATCCGATATTCGACCGACGGACAAATGGGCAAACATACGGGCAGACAGACGGGAAGTTCAACCGGTCGGTCGGACAACCAGCTCGACAGACCGACCGACCGGACAACCGACCGACCAACCAGACAGACAGACAACAGACCAGACCAGACCAGACCAGACCAGACAGACAGACAGACAGACAGACAGACAGACAGACAGACAGACAGACAGACAGACAGACAGACAGCCGTCTGGCTGCAGACTCACCACGCCGGTGCTGAGCTGCTGCAGGATGCCGCTGCTGGAGCCGGGGGCCACATAGGAGCTGCGCCGGTGCTTCAGGGAGCTGCTGAGGCCGACGGCGCCCAGCGCCGCGCCGGCCGCCGATTTACGCCGGCCCATCGAGCCCGGAGACGGTGTCAGCAGGCTGGTGTTGGGCACCGAGCCGCTCTGGCGAGCAGGTCAGCGGCGGGTCAGGGCGGGGTCAGGGCAGGGTCACAGAGGGGTCTCGGCGGGATTAGGGCGGGCCAGGACGGGGTCTCGGCGGGGTAGGGCGGGCCAGGACGGGGTCAACCCCAAATATGTCTGGAACACGTGTTGCACGGTTACCCACGGTAAACTAATTACATGTTTTTCTATCATTTGTGTTACTGCGCTAAATGTATGCATGCAATTGCCCAAAAGATAAAATTGACATTTGTACCTATTCCTTACTGAGAATGCTGAAGTAACAAATTTTGTTTCCATCATGCTTTTATTGGAAGCCCCTATGAAGGAAAACATTATTTCGCCTGAAACTTCTAACTTCAGGGTCTTCTGGAGCGTCCTTAGAACGTGTAATGCTCCGTAATCCGTATTTCTCAAATGTAAAACAAGACCTGTATGGAGCTAATGAGATCAGAAAACAATATCTGCTGGACATATTTAATGCTCAACGACCAGCCAATTAGTCCACTAATACAACATTATAAAAACAAAGTGTGTTAACCAGATGCTCCAAAAATGTACTCTCATGTATTTACATACTAAATGTGGGACCTACACACAAACGTCATAAATCTGCTTACGTCAGTTCAAACACATATGCAATGTCCTAGATGTGTCATAGGTGAGTTTTCGTCTAACTTTGTTATAAAAAAGGCGCAAAACGAAACACAATGAGCATATTTCTAAGTCCAAAAGCTGCCCAGACAATGTTTTGCAATGCTTGCATTACATCACACAATTACTTAGCTGTGTTTGTATCTGGCTACGTCAAAAGAGAACTTTGGATATTTTTACAATTGTTTGTTCTTGCTGAGGCAGCAAACTTGTAGCACTTGTAGTATTGACAGTAAACATGATAAATAAACCGCATACGCAATGTCAGGAAACAAAAACTATCGCAAAACGGTAAGCGCTGAGTCCCTTGTTGAACAGCGACGTAGTCTAGAGAAGATAAGATGTAACACTCAATTGTCAACGGTGTAACTACGGGCATGCACAAATGTAGGTACGTGTTAGCGGGACGTACAGTGTGCAGTGTGCATTGCATACACAAGGATGAGGTGTTACACCAGGTTGGTGCGGCGACTTCTACCGACTACCGTGTTCTAAAGACATGCGTTTTCTGCCGACGGCCGGGGGTGAAAGACCAACTCACCAGACCGTATCGGTGACTCAGCTAAAAGGCAGAACAGCACCAGCGATGACAGGACCATCGGACACGGCGACACACAATATTTACAGGCAGGATAAGATAGTTGTTCGTGGTAGGTTATCAATAGTCATAAAGATAACTTATCAATGCTTGATACAAGTATCCGTTTCTACACTGGATAAATTTTGTATAGTTATTCCAAAAAGCTAGGTGTGCGAGACGTGTTTTTGGGAGGAAGCACAATGCTAACAATAAAACATAAACTGACATTTAGATTTGACACTCTTTACAAACACATTGACTGGAAACACAAACTAACAGACTGTACAGAATTATCCTGATACCCTTCCCGTCATGCTATCAACTCTTGCGCCTCCCACTCACCCACTAACCTTTCCCCAGTCACTCACGCCCACTCCCCTCCACCTCCCTCCTCGTGCCGGCCCCCTCCTCCTTCTTACCGTGGCCGGGGAGAGGTTGAACATGGAGTTGCGCCGCTCGTTGGAGCAGGTGGACGAGTGGCGCCGGATGGGCAGCAGCCCCGCGCGCAGGTCGCCCGTCGACGAACCGCACGAGTGCGACGCCACGCGGATCTTTGGCGGGTTGAGCAGCTCGTTGTCGGAGAGTCGGCGGCCGATCAGCGCCGAGTGCACGCGCAGCCGGTTACTGTCCGGTGACGACGGGCCTGAGGAGCACACTGCGGAGACTCAGGGACGGTACAGACCACAGAGGGGACGACAGGGCCTGAGGAGCACACTGCGGAGACTCAGGGATGGCACAGACTACAGAGGGGACGGCAGGGCCTGAGGAGCACACTGCGGAGACTCAGGGACGGTACAGACTACAGAGGGGACGGCAGGGCCCGAGGAGCACACTGCGGAGACTCAGGGACGGTACAGACCACAGAGGGGACGGCAGGGCCTGAGGAGCACACTGCGGAGACTCAGGGATGGCACAGACTACAGAGGGGACGGCAGGGCCTGAGGAGCACACTGCGGAGACTCAGGGACGGTACAGACTACAGAGGGGACGGCAGGGCCTGAGGAGCACACTGCGGAGACTCAGGGACGGTACAGACCACAGAGGGGACGGCAGGGCCTGAGGAGCACACTGCGGAGACTCAGGGATGGCACAGACTACAGAGGGGACGGCAGGGCCTGAGGAGCACACTGCGGAGACTCAGGGACGGTACAGACTACAGAGGGGACAGCAGGGCCTGAGGAGCACACTGCGGAGACTCAGGGACGGTACAGACTACAGAGGGGACGGCAGGGCCCGAGGAGCACACTGCGGAGACTCAGGGACGGTACAGACTACAGAGGGGACGGCAGGGCCTGAGGAGCACACTGCGGAGACTCAGGTGGCGGTACAGACTACAGAGGGGACGGCGGGCCTGAGGAGCACACTGCGGAGACTCAGGGACGGTACAGACCACAGAGGGGACGGCAGGGCCTGAGGAGCACACTGCGGAGACTCAGGGATGGCACAGACTACAGAGGGGACGGCAGGGCCTGAGGAGCACACTGCGGAGACTCAGGGACGGTACAGACTACAGAGGGGACAGCAGGGCCTGAGGAGCACACTGCGGAGACTCAGGGACGGTACAGACTACAGAGGGGACGGCAGGGCCCGAGGAGCACACTGCGGAGACTCAGGGACGGTACAGACTACAGAGGGGACGGCAGGGCCTGAGGAGCACACTGCGGAGACTCAGGTGGCGGTACAGACTACAGAGGGGACGGCGGGCCTGAGGAGCACACTGCGGAGACTCAGGGACGGTACAGACTACAGAGGGGACGGCAGGGCCTGAGGAGCACACTGCGGAGACTCAGGGACGGTACAGACTACAGAGGGGACGGCGGGGCCCAGAGCACACTGCGGAGATAGGCTCAGGGACGGTACAGACTACAGAGGGGACGGCAGGGCCCGAGGAGCACACTGCGGAGACTCAGGGACGGTACAGACTACAGAGGGGACGGCAGGGCCTGGGGAGCACACTGCGGAGACTAAGGGACGGTACAGACTACAGAGGGGACGGCAGGGCCTGAGGAGCACACTGCGGAGACTCAGGGACGGTACAGACTACAGAGGGGACGGCAGGGCCTGGGGAGCACACTGCGGAGACTCAGGGACGGTACAGACTACAGAGGGGACGGCAGGGCCTGGGGAGCACACTGCGGAGACTCAGGGACGGTACAGACTACAGAGGGGACGGCAGGGCCTGGGGAGCACACTGCGGAGACTCAGGGACGGTACAGACTACAGAGGGGACGGCGGGGCCTGAGGAGCACACTGCGGAGACTCAGGGACGGTACAGACTACAGAGGGGACAGCGGGGCCTGAGGAGCACACTGCGGAGACTCAGGGACGGTACAGACTACAGCTAGAGGGGACGGCAGGGCCTGAGGAGCACACTGTGGAGACTCAGGGACGGTACAGACTACAGAGGGGACGGCAGGGCCTGAGGAGCACACTGCGGAGACTCAGGGACGGTACAGACTACAGAGGGGACGGCAGGGCCTGGGGAGCACACTGCGGAGACTCAGGGACGGTACAGACTACAGAGGGGACGGCGGGGCCCGAGGAGCACACTGCGGAGACTCAGGGACGGTACAGACTACAGAGGGGACGGCAGGGCCTGAGGAGCACACTGCGGAGACTCAGGGACGGTACAGACTACAGAGGGGACGGCAGGGCCTGGGGAGCACACTGCGGAGACTCAGGGACGGTACAGACTACAGAGGGGACGGCAGGGCCTGAGGAGCACACTGCGGAGACTCAGGGACGGTACAGACTACAGAGGGGACGGCAGGGCCTGAGGAGCACACTGCGGAGACTCAGGGACGGTACAGACTACAGAGGGGACGGCAGGGCCTGAGGAGCACACTGCGGAGACTCAGGGACGGTACAGACTACAGAGGGGACGGCAGGGCCTGAGGACACTGAGGAGACTCAGGGACGGTACAGACTACAGAGGGGACGGCAGGGCCTGAGGAGCACACTGCGGAGACTCAGGGACGGTACAGACTACAGAGGGGACGGCAGGGCCTGGGGAGCACACTGCGGAGACTCAGGGACGGTACAGACTACAGAGGGGACGGCGGGGCCTGAGGAGCACACTGCGGAGACTCAGGGACGGTACAGACTACAGAGGGGACGGCGGGCCTGAGGAGCACACTGCGGAGACTCAGGGACGGTACAGACTACAGAGGGGACGGCGGGGCCTGAGGAGCACACTGCGGAGACTCAGGGACGGTACAGACCACAGAGGGGACGGCAGGGCCTGAGGAGCACACTGCGGAGACTCAGGGACGGTACAGACTACAGAGGGGACGGCGGGGCCTGAGGAGCACACTGCGGAGACTCAGGGACGGTACAGACTACAGAGGGGACGGCAGGGCCTGAGGAACACACTGCGGAGACTCAGGGACGGTACAGACTACAGAGGGGACAGCGGGCCTGAGGAGCACACTGCGGAGACTCAGGGACGGTACAGACCACAGAGGGGACGGCAGGGCCTGAGGAGCACACTGCGGAGACTCAGGGACGGTACAGACTACTGAGGGGACGGCAAGGCCTGAGGACACACTGCGGAGACTCAGGTGGCGGTACAGACTACAGAGGGGACGGTGGGGCCTGAGGAGCACACTGCGGAGACTCAGGGACGGTACAGACAACAGAGGGGACGGCAGGGCCTGAGGAGCACACTGCGGAGACTCAGGGCCGGCACCACACCGAGGGGATGGCACGGTCGTTAGGACACCGGACTCTCCAGCGTACCTGCCCTTCCTTGCCTCTCCAGTGGAGAAACAGGAGAAGTAAGGACTGCAAATCGAGCTTCGAGGAGGCAGAATGGCACACCGGTGAGCGAACATAAGGCGAAAAGAGACAATACATAAAAGCATTCGTTGACGCCACATACTTTGTACTCTCTTTCGTTACCCAGCGCTTTCGTCCCTCGTAAGCCCCGTCTACCTGCCGATCCCACCATCCACTACCCAGAAACCTCCCAGGCCCTTTTGCCCGGACCTTTTTCCCAGATGGACATATGAACTCTCCCCCACCTAACACCCTTTTCCCAAACCCGCCGCCGCCGCCGTTCGTGGTCTCACAAGAGCCGGCCGAGCCGCTGCTCTTGCGGCTGCAGTCCTCGGCGCTGTGGTCTTGCGCCGGTGCTCGACGCGCAGGTTGGGGATGTGGAAGGCCGGCGGCGACGCGGCCATGTAGTCGGACGAGTTATGGTGGCGCAGAGACACGGCCGACGGCCAGCGGCGCTCGGCGACGTCAGCCAGGTCGTCCAGCTTCAGCTTGTTGGCGGTTCCTGTCGCAAGAGAGAGAGAGGAGAGAGAGAGAGAGAAAGAAAGAGAAGAGAGAGAGAGAGGAGAGAGAGAGAGAGCGAGAGAGAGAGAGAGGAGAGGGGGTTTAGTGGTTAGTTTTGCCAATCACACCTTCCTGCTTTTCTGTGATGAATTCCATTCCGTGACGAAATGGATAAATGCAAACCTAACACAACGAAACAATTCCACAGTGAGAACTTGATGTTGGGTGTTGTGCTAAAAAACGCAGACAAGTGCTTCGTCTGTAAGCTCTACGAAATGTAAAGCGTCTGGCTCATGAAAGTGCTGTATTTGGACCAGAAAGTGCGTATTTGGACCAGCAACAACGCCCAGAGATAGATGGGTCGGTTGGGTATCCAGGGTATATCCACAGCCTGTGTTACATTGTCCCATTGCTCACGACTTGATCTATCTTGGGCTGAGGCTTGGGCTGAGGCGTCTACGTGCCCGACAAAGGTGGCGTAACAGCCTCCCCACGCGGCACAATTGGATTAGTCCTCCATTTGCGCTGATCGAACACGGCGGAATTGGTCCTCTGTGCAGCCGACAGCAGCGATTGGAAAAAACGGCTTCTTCGGAGGGTAGCACTCAGAGAGGGAAAAGTGGTTCACTAGGTACCACATTTAGTAAAACCGAATGATGCTGTCACAAAACTTGTATGTGCAATAGGTTAGGTACAGGCAAAGGATTATTAGGCAGAATTATTAAACTGTGTATGCCGTATGGGCATTGATTAGGTTGTATTTGGTTGTAGAAATATCACAGCTACCTATAGCTTCGATACAACCCATTTGACATACACAATGTCGATAGAACCTTTAATAATTTCTAAGCTTGCAGACATTGCTTCTCCCAGGTACCTAGGCATCTGAAGAGAGAAAAAAATATCCAATGCAGCAAAAAAATAACCGTTAAATAAAGTAGGTAAGTAAAACTCCTGTGAGAAAACATGATGCATGTATTTCTGGCATGTCACTGTCATCATTTTATCTGTGCCTTAAGTGAGCAAATGACATATTTTTTTCTTAACGTGGCTTTAATTGGGATCTTTGAATGCCAAGAATACCCTCATTCTTTACCTTATCACTGAATCTTTTAAGTGTTTACAAACCCTAAGCACTTAGTTTAACGAGCTGAAACTGTAAGCGAACGACCTAACCGACGTTAAAAGAGAAAAGTCTCGCGGCAAGTCTGTGGTGTGTTGAAAGAACACGGGCTGAAAGATAAATAAGCACAATATTTTATGAGCCCATATACAAGGATGTTTGTCCGTGCAACCGTACACTCATAATGCAGAATATAATTTATAACATATTTGGTTGCACACATCTAAAAAAGGAAACGCCAGACACCCCTTGCAGTAAGACTCTCGTTCTTGCATACCAATGCTGCTGCAAGTAACAAAACAGTATCCATAGACGACAAAACTGTCAAATTCAAAGAGCATGCAATTGAAATAAAGCTTGAGACAGCATGAGCACAAACCAAACGTCTTTCGGGTTATATTCTCTTCTCACATTCAACATATAGTAGGCTGTCGAGCGAAAACCTATTTGCATTGACCTCGAGGTCACCCATGACGTCACATGTCAGGTTAAAGTAAAAATTATCGGCATTTTGGCTTGTTCACAGTTTAGGCTCTGGCCGCCGGTTTACAAGTCTGATCAGGCTCATTTTTGGCTTACGCACCCCTTGATATATGCCTTAGATACCCAGAGGGTACCGAACTTTTACTTCGATTTTTTTCAGGTCAAGGCCAGGTCATCCTAGGTCACGGAATTTTATAAGTACCTATCATGTATCGGTCACGTGACGCATGTTTTATAGTCCATTTCACTCATGGGTTTTGAAAAAAGTATCGTCTGAATCATTCGAAGTTATTTTTTCATGTGCAACTAGCTTAGGTCAAGTCACTTTCAGGTAAAAAAGGCGAAATTTTGAAAATGATATTTTCAACAAAAAGGTTCTACCAGATGCAATTTGGGCTCATGAACACGATGGCGCTAGGTATTTATACCAGTATAACGCCTTTTGGCGCGACTAACGGAGCGAGCGAGAGGGTGGGCCTTGCACGTGCGAAATTTCGAGGGGGTACCTCCAACTGACTTGTGCACGGCACCCTACTAACCGGTCTCTAGCGATGTGCCAAATTTGAGCACAATCGGCCCAGCCGTTCTCGAGAGCTGGAAGCGGCACCCTGCACGTGCGCACGTGCAAAATGGGTCCCAACTGACTTGTGCACGGCACCCTACTAACTGCTTCCTAACCGTGTACCGAATTTGAGCGCAATCGGTCGAGCCGTTCTCGAGATCTGGAAACGACCCCTGCACGTGCGCACGTGCAGCAGCACCCCAACTCTGGCACATGGATATGCAGTGCCTAGTGGGTGCCTACCTACATGCCAACTTTCAACGCAATCGGCCAAGTAGTTACCGAGATATTGCAACAATTACAAAACTGACACCTCTTCGTTTTGCACGTGGCACGTGCATAAGGGGTCACCCACGTGTATCGGGAATAGTCCAATACTTGGTAGAAGGAATGAAGCTATCCTACAAAAAATTACCGCATGTAAATCGGTCAAGTGGTTGCTGAGATATAGGTAAGCCTCGCAAAAGCGTGACCACGGCCGGCCGCTCATACTCAGAAATTTCCGTTAATCTAAGGAAAGACTACGCTCGCTTCGCTCGCTCCGTAATTACTGCATGATGTAAAAACGTCCTGAAAAATGGATTCGAAAACTCAAAATTTGTGAAATTTTGACTATAATGCGTACAGCTCAGCCATTTTTTTGGATATTGGGCTACAACTTTCCACAGTAGTTAATCAGTGGGTGGACTAGCACATATATTCCGCTTTTTCGAAGTCGAAAAGTTTATGAAAAGAAAAATAAAAATGCTGTTTTTTTAAATTTTATACCTATGTATATTTTCAGATATTTTCAAAAATTTTGAAAATCCGAGATAGCAGTCTAGTAGGCACGTGTATCCTAAATCCCTTATGTAAAGAAATCGGATCTAGCTTCAAAACTGAGCTTTTGAGAGCGATTGCCGTAGTTCAATGTTTTGCATCAAAATCGGCCAACATGATGTCACTCTGACGTCATTTCCGGACGACCTATGGTAGTTAGAAGGGGAAATTTGAACACAATAGGCCGATATCGCTTGTGCCCGTCATCGCCAAGATCACTGAGCGGATCGTCCAGCGTCAGCTCCATTATTACCTCTCTAGCAACTTTCTTCTCTCGGACAGTCAACATGGATTTCGGCCCAACCATTCGACTGCTTCGGTCTACAATTTTTACAAAGGTCATTTTCAGGTCAGGTCAAAGATGACGTCACAGGGGTCGAAAAAGTCAAAATGGCGGCGCTAGATATGGAGAGAGTTTTTCTCGAATAACTTTCGAATTAGTCACGATAGGAACAAACTAAGGGCATCATCGTGATCCTCTCGTCAATCCGCATCGAATGATATATATGTTGACCTCGAAAGGTCAAGGTCAAAGGTTGACCTCAGGTCACGTGACCTCGAGGTCATCATGTATATCATTCGATGCGTCTTGACGAGCTGAACACAATGAGACCATCCACGCGTCTGTATCTTGTTCCTGTACGGAGTTATTGGCCAAAAACCTTTGGTGACCTTTGATGACGTCACATGACCTCACAGCTGCCCAACAGCAAAACAGACCTCAAGGTAGTGAAGGTTGATCGTATATGAAGTCATGTATGGTATATGGGGCCATTCCGACCCGTTTTAGTGGTAAAAACAGGGAGTTGATTTTTCCCCCATTGACTTATAATGGGGAGGTCGCGAAACTGACCTGACCTTAGGTCACCGATATCAAAATTCCGAGATATACAAATTGCACATACTGGTACCCTAACTAAAGCCTGAAGAGAAGAAATTGATCGGTCAAAAACTCTAGCTCTGGCGTGATTGCAAACTTTTCTGAGGTAGGGTCACCAAACCGCCTCTGGTGACCTGACCTGAGGTCAGATCAACTCAAAATTTTGAGACATGTTGCGTAGAGGCCTTATAGGAAAAGTCAGAAAATTTGAGCTTCCTAGCTCAACGCGTTTGGGAGAAATAACCAAAAAACCTCAGGGGGGGCTCCTGAGGCCCCCCCCCCGCCAGGAATAGGGTTAACGTCTCCGATAGTATACTCTCAGCTATGGACAACAGCGAAATTTCTCTCCTGTGTCTCATTGACCTAAGTAAATGCTTTGATATCATCAACCATTCTAAATTACTTGACAAGCTCCAACTACTTGGGATTGACGCTGGATGGTTCCGCTCATATCTTGAGGGCCACACACAGAGTGTATGTATCAGTGATGGTAGGGGTCACCGCGTACTCTCCAAGTCACTGCCAAACCATGTTGGTGTCAGGTGTGTTTCAAGGCTCGTCCCTCGAGCCTTTGTTGTTCACTTGCTTTGCGAACGACATGAGCCTGCATGCCCTTGATGGGCGTATCGTTCAGTACGCTGACAATACGCAGGTGCTCGTCAGTGGCCGTAGGACAGCGATGAGCGACACAGAGACTAGAATGGAGCCCTGGCAGCCCTCAGTGACTGGTTTGCGGCCAATGGGTTGAAAGTAAATGCCACCAAGACTGAATTGATTGCGTTTGGCAGCCGGCAGAGCATGCGTCACCTGCCTGACATAAATGTAAGATTTAGAGATGCCGTCTTGAAACCGTGTCAAAAGGTCAAGAATCTGGGCGTGACCTTCGATTCTTACCTCACCTGGGATGACCATGTTGCTGCCATTGTTGGTAAATGTTTCGGAGCGCTGATAGGATTGAGCCAGGTGCGCCACTACATACCCGAGGATACGATTGTGACGCTTGTGACTGCCCTTGTTCTCTAACATGTGCGGTACTGCCTGCCCGTTTACGGGAACTGCTCGAAAGGGAACCTCGTACGACTTGATAAGGTCATTAATTTTGCCGCAAGGGTTGTGTCTGGCCATCACAAGTATGACCACGTGGCTGATGTAAGGGACGCGCTGGGGTGGCTCTCGGCTGGTGACCTATCGTCGTACGATACGCTGGTGCTACTGCACAAGGTTATCCGAACGGGCGAGCCAGCTGACATTGCCGCTTATGTTTCGCCGAAATGAGGAGATGCGCGAGCGAGCGACTATGTAGACGAGATAGCAGGCTGTGGCTACGTCGCTTTCAACACTGATTTAGGCTTACGCATATGGGTTGCATATATTCATGCATAGCCATGCGTTTTGGTGAGTTTTGTGTGATATGTTGAGTGTGATGTCTTTTTGTTCCCTTCTCATATGACGCGGGAGCGTAATAGCCACAACTACCTGTGGATGCCCCCCAGATGTTAAATACAATACAAAATACAAGGTATCAAATTGATGCTGCTGAAGGTATTGCAAGGTTCGTGTTGATGCGTCAAGTAATTTATAAGATATTGCAGAAAAACGGGAGGGAGCCCCCCCCCCAGCCATGTAGATTGTAGGTACGGGTTAACGATAACCAGCCTAGAAAACCACCGTCTAGTGTCGGCTCACCGGTCGATGGTGTCCAGCATCTCCTGCAGGACCTCAGCAGGCTGGTGAACTGGTCCAGGTGCAGCGCAGCGTTCATCGTCAGCGGCAGCAGCGACGGCATCACCCGCGTGGCCATCAGGTTCACACTCAGACCGTACTTCTTGCTGTCCGTCAGCATCACCCGGTATATGTCTGCGGCGAGGGGAGGGAGGAGAGAGAGAGAGAAAGAGAGAAGAGGGGGAGCGAGAGAGAGAAGAGAGAGAAGAAAGAGAGAGAGAGAGAGAGAGAGGAGAGAGAGAGAGAGAGAGAGAGAGAGAGAGAGAGAGAGAGAAGCAGATGTTTAGTAATTAACTGCAGTATTCACGAGCAGGGCTGGGAAATCTCTCATACTTTCATACCCCAGTAGGTAGCAGATATCGCTTTATTGTTCCATCAATTGTAGCAAAATCAACATTTCTCTCTTCCGTACATCATAAAGAAAAATACGATAAAAACATCAAAATTCGCACATTTTTAAAATAGAGGTACCACCAGCCAGTGATCTCGTCGGCGAATAAGAACAAAACATCTGTAAGACTAACACGAGTTCAAAACGTCAGCTTTGTGCTCCATTTTATGACGAATCTGGCGGCTCTTTGTAGCAGTTTCCATTGTAGCATCACTAATTCTTCATACTCTGAGTCGTGTAACAAAAGGTATCTGCTACGCCTTTTTATGCGCTATCTTTCTTATAAATATTGCAAAAAGGAGTTTCATTATTTGTGAAATATTCAAATGACATACTTACGAAACAAAACAAATTGTTTTTAAAAGGGCATTGTTCAATGATCAATAAAAATACGAAAAGAATCAACTCATTCTGCCCATGGCATCTCTAAAAGCCATCTTTTATGATACAGTGTCCTGCAACGTCTTTAATCCTTTTTGATGACGTCATAGACAATTTTATTCAGTTTTTAATGTATTTTATTGGTAAAATCATACTCATTTGAACCAAATTAGAGTTTTAAGGACTAATGAACATTTTTTGTAAGTTTTATTAAGAAATCTTGTCAAAAATATGCAAATTACGTCATTGCCTTTTGTGTATTTTGTTGATGCATTGTTTCTGGCGCATTAGAGACAATTCTAGTTGTTTCGCGTGGATAGTTCAGTTGAGTTTGATGAGTGTTTCTGGTGTTTTTGAATTATTTCAGCTATTTTAGCTTTCATTTTGCCTCTTTTTTAGGAAAGTGGGATATTCCAGGCCTAATTTCAAGTGTTGCAATGACAACTGTCCCTAAAGCGGCGTGCAGTACACAGTTAAAGAGCAAGGTAGCCGCCCAGCACGCAAAGCAAGATGTGTGAAGACATAGGGAGATACCTATGATCGAATTTGCGCAGAAGGTGAGATCTGATTGAAATATTGATCAAGTAACGCCCAGAAAAGAATTTTTTATTAACTTCGTTACATGTTCAATTATTGTATTAACTCTAAACCTTGATTGGTGGCAACTGGCAACTTTTGTACAGCGGGTTCGGCATGCACAATGATTGTAAATTGTTGACCAGACTGAGCAGCCAAATCAACCTGATGTCTTTCGAATACTTTCTGCCTGAGTAGGCTGTTACCATCTGAATCCTGAAGTTGCTGAAATGCTGATAGGAAAATTCTAGGGCTCACTGGAGCTCTCTGGTGCTCTCAGGTGGTGCTGGAACTTGCCCTGAGAAAGCCCTACAGCACCTTATTTTGTTATTTGTATGCTTTTTCTAAACCTGAGTAGTGAGTACCTACAAAGAGTAAATAATAAGAAAAAGCACATTCACGGGGCATAAGCAAGACACTGCATCTGTTTTTGTTTGTGCAACCAACTAAATAAAAACATTCAAAGCTCAATTTGAGAATAGATTGAAAATGAAAGTGGAAAGCTCTGTCCAGAATTTTGATTACTTGTAAAATCATTTTCTCTAGCAGAAATGATGTGGAGGAACATTTGTGGCAATGTAGCTAATAAAGAGTTTCTCGTAATATCTGGTATGTAGCAGATTCAGCATTTTTCCCAGCCCTGTTCACGAGGTTAGAGTCTTAGACCCATGAGTAGATTACCTATATCATATATGTATTATATTCACCTAGCCTTCATGCACGGATATTTTCATAAAAAAGGGAGAAAGCAGTATTAAGTTTGAAACGATATATTAACCCGCGCCCCGCTGGGCTAGTCAGCCATACGCGCCCTGCTGGGGGGGGGGGGTAGATTCTGCCCCCCCCCTGTCTAACTTCCGAACCGATGGTCGTAGAAAGACGGGGAAAACGGCAATCGAAAGCTCTCAACAAGGCGGATCTTAACCCGCGCGGGGCTGGGTCTCCAGCCGAACGCGCGGGGCTGGGGGGGGGGTAAATTTTACCCCCCCTGTTATCTCCCGAACTAATGGTCCGATTTGGAAAATTCAAACGCCAATCGAAAGCTCTCATCACGAACTACTAGAAACATGTACTTAATTTAAAGTTTGAGGTCAAGGTCAAGGTCAGGTCAAGGTACAAATTGCAAGTTTCTACAGTATCGGCCTTGCACCGTAGTTGCCGAAGAATGGAGTCATGGACTGAGACTGATCGCCCAAAACGTGTTCTTAGGCTACCAAGACAATATTCGTTGCATACAATATCATTCAGAGGTCAAGGTCAAGGTCAGGTCAGGTCGGGTTAGGTCACCAAAAAACAAAATATAGAAAAGGCATGTGCGACACATGTTTTTGGGTCATTTTACTCATAGAATTCAATAGGCACACTCAATAAGTGATATGGACCACCTCTGGATGAATTTCAGGTCGAGGTCAGGTCAAAGTCAGGTCAAGTGAGGTCAAATTTTGAAGTTGGTTGTTAAGGCCTAAAAAGGTTTCTATCTGATGCAGTTTTTCACGGCGAATCGAATGGTGCTATTTTTGTTTCCGTACGAGGTCTAGAACTTCCAAAAAATTATTTTTCAAAATTTTGTGTGTCGTGACGTCATAAAATTTTGAATAACTCCCACATTTTTGAACCGATTCTTCTAAAATTTGGTATGTAGGTGCACATAGACCACTTCTCTGACATATATTCCGGTTTTTTTCGATAGACTCAAATTTTGGATTTTATAATGATTTTCCCAAAAAAGTCAGTTTTTTGAAAAAATTTAGGCCAAAATCCAAAATTTTCAAAAAACCGAGATAGCCATTTGATAGACAAAGTAAAATTACCTATAAACTTTTTTGTTACGTCTTGATTCCTTT